GACTTGACAGAGAGAGATCACTGGAGATACCCACAGCCTCTTCATTCCACGTGCTAATCGGGTGTCTCTTCCAGTACCCTACTCTGTACCTGCCTGGCCCTATACCCAGACAGAGGGAGGGTCCCTCTCTCTCTAAAAGGCACTGCCTGAAGTCAGGAGCTTCCTGGCTGTACAAACCTCCGGTGATAAATTATGCAGCAGCACCTTTGTGTCGCCGCTGCCTCCCGGCCAGATGGGAGGTTTGCTCCCAGTCTTTTGTTTCCGGCTTGGCTGCTGCTCCGATCCTGGGCTCTGCACAGAGGTGAGGGAGAGCTCCTACAGGCCAAGTCAGGGCTTGCAGCAAGTCCCAGCCAGGCTTTCCCCAGCTGGGTCTCAGGCAGCACTCCTCCCCTCCTCACTGTCACCTGAATAATGGGGGAGCAGGGCGTCAGGGAGCACTCATCTGTGAGCAGGAATGGGAATGCCTGTGTGCACTGAAAGAAAGAAGCCTGCTCCAATGGGCGTAAGAGGTGCCCAAGGGCACCTAGGGTGTTTGCTCTTGCTAAATCGAAAATGCAGAACAGAAAATATTCAAAGGACCGTCTGGAAGGTAGAGAATCCATTCTTTTAAATGGCTGCTCTGGGTTACAGTCAACTTTCCACAGCTCCCAGAAACATCGCATTACTGACACCAACTTAAAAAGAAGAAACAAAGACAATGGGGGGTCAAACTTGGGGTGGAGGAGTCCAGAGCTGGAGGTCTGTATCAATTATCACTGCACATTGACAGAATTTTGGATTGAAGACGGTCGTTATGGGGGAAGCAGGCTCCCAACAGCCCAGCCCCCAGATTGGGGCAATTACCACCGTATGAGCTCTGGGGCTTGACTCTCTCCCTAGACCAGTGGGAGGGAGAGCTCGGAATTCTAAACTGTTCCAGCTACAAGAGACCTCTCGCAGCATCTCTCACCCTGGGTCACAGCGATCTTAGGGTGAGAGGTTGCTAGGCTGCATTGCTGACCACTCAACAGGGAAGTTCTCAAAGAAAAATTCCATCGCCTGCACCTCTCTTGAGAGAACTAACGCAGAACAGGCTCCCCTAGACTCACATTATAGCTTAACAGACCTCTTTTTCTGGAAGTGTAAACAGGTAGGAAATATCCTTAGGTTTCATTAGATTTTCAAGGGGGCAAAGCTCGGGGAGCAAAGGCAAGATCTTTCAAAGAGAAAAGGAGAAAAAAAAGTGAAATGAAGAGGGACCAAGCCTCCACTTTAGCACATGACACTGTAGTATAATTAGTATAATTATTTATTTACTGAGCTCCAATATTCCAAAGTCAAGAACCATCTCTGATCCACAAGGCAACTTTGCTATCAGCTGACATTTATCAAGTTCTACAACAACACAGTAGTTGTGCTGAATTGTTTGAACATACTATTAACTCATGCCTTCTTAAGTGAAAATTGACTACTATTCCACTCTCCCCACCTCACCCTCATTTGCAGATAAGAATCCTAATGTTCAGTGAGACTGTTTTGCTCAGGATCACCAAGAAGTACCAAAAGCCAAAATTCAAACCCAGGTCTGCCTGTGCTTCTTAATTACTGAGCTATGTACCCAGTGATGAGATTAGGACTTGGCAAATATGTCTGCTGAATGAATGAACAAATGAATGAGTACAAGGCCCAGGTTGGGGAATGCTCCTGAGTGCACTAGGGAGAAAGAGCCTGACGTTGCCAGCTCTAAGTTGGAGGGACAGCAACAAGCACAGGGTAGTCATCAGAGCTATTTATAGGGCCAAACTCAGGCTCTGCCAGACAACCAGTCAGCACCTAGTCACCCCTGGGACACTGACTCCCACTAGGCTGAAAAGAGAAAGGCTTTGGCTGCTGAAGATGAGATGGCAACTCAGACAAAGCCTGGGACCTAGACGCCCTATGCCCAGGCAACTGGGACAAAACTTGTGGCTAAGCTGCATCAAGGAATGTAGAGAGACCATTGCTGACCGACACAGCCTGGGACGGTCCCGTAATTATGAGATATGACCAGTCACAAGAGAGACAAGACTATTTCTTAAAGTAATCCCTGAAATTATTCTGTTCCCATTCAAGAACCTCTCAGTATTGATTTTTTTTTTCTTTAAAGAAGCAGCAACTTAAATAATCCTTCCCATTTTCCTTCTTCTCAGGGATCAAGACTAGCAGTTAATCAGTAGACTGAGCAAAGAGCTGTAAAACACCCTGTCCTCTGTGACCGCCTGTGTTCTGTGCTGGCCCGGAAGATGAACATGCCCAGTGTACTCTGTAACAGACATGGCCAGACTTGGTTCCCTTGCAGCTGTCATTCTTAATACCATGGGCCAGTCCCAAAGATGTTATCTGATATCCAACAGGGGACAGAAGAGGAAATCCAAAATCAGTGACAAGCCAAGCATCTTTCACAAGTCCAAGAGATCAGGGGACAAGGTGACTCCAGTACCATGACAACCAAGACAATAGACAGATGGAAAGGAGACCAGTCTCTGGTCAACTCTTTTGCACTCATCCTCAGAAGCAAATTTTTATCCAAAAGCTCATGGCAGAATACTCAACTTTTCGTTTACCTAGAAGAAACCGCCAGGACAAACAGTTTCCACTCTTCATATAGTCATAACCCTCAGGATGAAAATAGCCATAGCTATTCCCAGCCATCAAATTTCCTTCCAAAATCTTTAAGGGTGGAGTGTTATGTAGGCTGAACTCAAACCTAGAGACTCTAGGAAAAACCCAAAGGACTAGCAGATTCCAAATAAGCACCTAAAATTTTAGAGTCCTGAGTTCACTTCTAGGTGAGGTCAGGTCTGCCTAACTGATCCATTACTACATTTCCGGGACTACCGTGTCCCTGAGATCCTGGGATTTAGTGTCAGGGATCCTCATGGCTATAGTTTTGATTGTGCTGGTTCTAGGCTCTGCAACTGCTCAGTCTCACTGAGAATCTGGTCTCCTACAGGCTCCCAGAAGGGTTCAGGCCCAGCAAAAATGTAAATCTCCCTGCCTCTGCTTACCCTATGTGCACAGAAAATCCCTAGACTTAGAAATGTCTATTGTATCTTTTCTCCCACTTAAAAAGGAACCCAAACCAGTGATTGGGAAACCTATCACCCTTTTTCTGTAAAACATTAAATATACATTTTTCTCTACCCCTATCCTCTATTTGGATGCAGTGTGTGCAATTTTGACAGCTCTGGAGCAGTAAAATTCTCTTGGCCCGTCTCAGCCAGGGAACCTTCCAGCTCCCCATTCCCTTGGGCAGAAGGCGACAATCTCCTCTCTGGCTTTGTTGGTATCCGTTTTACCGCACCACCCCCCCCCCCCCCGCCTTTTTTTTTTTTTTTTTTTTTTGTCCTAGTGCCTAACCATTTCCCTTGATCTTTTTCAAAACTTCCTCCAGGGGGCCGGGAGGAAAGTTCCATCCCCTTTCCTTGCAGCCCGAAGGGGGAAACCCCCCAAAAAGTATAGCTGTCCCTTTAAGGGGCCCATGTGGTGGGAAGAACAGCTACATTCCTACCCCAGTAGGGCTGCTGTCCCGACACGCCGAAGAGGCTACAAATAACCTTCTAGGAGAGAGCCCGGGAGGGGGAGAGCGCAGAGCTAAGAGGAACGTGGGTCGGCCAGGCTACCACTTCTCAGAAAGGGCTCAATCGGCGCTAGAGAGGATTGGAAAAAGCCACTGAAAACTCACGGATAGTTTAAATAATAGGCACGAGAACTCCGTTTTGGATTCCAGACATAAAACAATCTTTAAAGCAAGTGCCCAGACATCTCCACGCCCTGCCAGGCAAGTTCCGAAATCTGCACAGTTTGCACACGGGCTCCTCTACCTTAAAGAAAGAAACGGTGCAAGGCCACAGTCTGCAGACCCCTGGGTTCTGAACCCCACCCCCTCATCCGGGCAGCTAGGAGAACTAGAAGATTCGGATCTCCCCCGCACTGAAGAGCGGTGGGTGAATGAGCTGGGGCTCAGAGATCAAAGTTCTTTGATCTTTGGGCACAAACTTAGAGGCAGCTGCTCTATCACGGGGTGCACCATGGTCGTAAGCGGCGGCGAAGAAGCAGATTCCACTGGAGTCCTAATCACACTCCAACAGTTGCGAACGGGCACCGAACACGTTATTAATAAGGAGCAGATAAGCAGCAGTCCTGATCCCATCCGCCCAGCTCCCCTGAGGCCCCACCGCGCGGGCCGAGAGGCTGCTGCCTTCTGAGGTTCAGCAACACCCGCTCCCTGCCTCCTGCCCCCTGCCCCAGCCAGGACGGATTCTGCGGGAGTCTTCCAGCAGTTCCTTCCCAAAGTTCCTCCTCAGCCCCTTTTCCAATCCTCTCCCCCCACCCCTCCCCTGGGGAGGATCCGGGGCAGGAAGCTGATTGGCCGCAGCCAGGAGAGGGAACCCAAAACACCACTAAGGGGAGATGCTGCAAGCAAGCAATGCCCAAAGACCCTCGGTGAGAGCCGGGTCTGGGGGATTTGTTCCCGAGTAGAGGAATTCCCGGTGCTCAAGTACTTAGATTCCACCGAGGCCCCTCTCCGCAACCCACACGAGACCCTCAGCCCCTGGGAGGAGAGCTATTTACAATTTATGGGTTTAGCGACCGCCCTCCCCGCCTCCCTTTCTTTGCACACATTCATTCGCACCAAGGACACAGAGACCCTGTCTTAACCTGAAAGGGAAGCAGCCCCCCAGCTCTTTAAAGAGCAGCTAAGAAGGCAAGCGAGCGCCTCCGGTCTTATCCCACCCGGCCCAGACCGGAGCCCGGGGGAGCTCCTCCACCACTGTCCGCTCTCGCACTTGAGGAGCTGGGGGAGCTCCTGGTTCCATCCCCAGCATGCAATTTCAGGGCCACTTCTTGGAGTGAGCGCGAGCGGTTTCAGGCCCCAGCCTGCGCCCTTGGGCTCCCGGGAGGTGAGTCCTGCAGCTGCCCGACCCAGGGACAAACTTTCCCGATGGGCCGGTCAGAGCGGGCGCGGCGACACAGCTTACCGTGTGCACAGAGCAGGGCGCCAACCAGCAGCGCGCCCCACAGCCGCCTCATGGTGCCGCGGCCGCCGCCGGCGCTCCCTGCCGGCCGGGGGTCCAGCCGACTCCCGCGGGACGGCGCGGCGGAGGGAGTCAGCGGAGGGTCCCGGGAGGGAAGCGTCCCAGGTCCGCCACGGTCCGCGCGCCCCGCAAGTGGCCCTCCGGCCGCTGCTGCCTCCAGTGCTGCTAGAGCCGAAGCCGCCCCGCCAGGGGACCGGGAGGGGGTGTCCCGGGCCCTGCCGCCCCGCCCCCCGCGCCGCAGCCCCCGCCACCGCCACCGCGCCTGGTCCCGCCTCCAACGCTGGCCCGGCCCCTTCCAGCCTTCGGCTCCCGCCCCCCAGTCCTCAGACCCCACCCGGGGGCACCTCTGGCTCGGGCCCCTCTCCTCCTCAAGCCACCCCCACATTCCTAGCCATCGAAAGACTCTCTTTCTCTGTCCCCATTACTACTGCTCAAATGTCCCCAATTTTTTAAAAAAAATAATTATTATTATCCTAGACACAACTCTCAGACTCCGTTCACCCTAGCTCCACGCCAGGGAGGAGCACCCGGGCTGACCCAAGTCGCCTGGACGTGACCCCAGCACCCTACCGGCCCCAAGTCCAGACTTTATTGATGTCCCAGAATACGGAAGGCTTGCTAATGCGTAATCCTCTAGGTCTTTATTGACATCAAACAAGGGCCATCAGGGGGCCTGTCGGGCTCTATCTTAACTAGCATTCTCACTGTCAAAATTCCTTTTCTGAGATTTTCGACTTGCATCCCCGCCTGTCCTCTGGTCTAGGCAGTGTTCTAGGGCTAAATAATTCCGCGACCTCCCCTTTTCATTTACTCATTTCCTGAGGTAGTTGTCTGGGTCCTGTCGCCCCAGCTCAGACGTCCAGATTTGGCTCAGACAGACTTAGTTCCTCCTCGCTGTCTTTGTAAATCAATGTCGTTAGCCTTTTCACCTTCTTTGACTTTCTGATCTTGGCAAGGGAGGGAGGGAGTAAGGAAATGAGTCCTTACTTAGAATTGCACTCCCCCAAGACCTCAGCATTCTCCCAGCCTCTGACTGCAGAAGGAACTTCCAGCAATCTTTAACATTCAGGTTGCTACATAAATTGTAAACTCTTCTCGGTTTTGTGACCTAGCCCCCTCCCTAATGAATATTAACAGTATGGATTAATTTTGCCCCTTCGATTTTTCTAGGTTGGATCTCATTTCGTTATCTTTGTCCAAGTCCCCAACTTTCTTAAGGCCAAGGTATCACTTTTCCCTCTAAGCTGATATGCCAGTGTTTCCTGGCTTTGGCTCATCTGTGGATTTCATTAAATCTCTTTCCTATCACCATAGTGCCAAAAAAGACCTAGATACCCCAAGTGAGCCGAAAATAATTCGGTATAATGCAAAATGGATATTAGGATATTTTTCAAAATGGATGGGTTGACATTTCATCCTTGCTTATTTTCAAATTTTCAAGGCTTTCACTCCAAATTACCATCTTTGACCAAAGCTAACATTAACCATACTTTGTGACAGTTACAACAACAAAAGTGATGTTAACTCTTTCTTAGTCAGTACCTTTCTATACTGTTTTGCCTGAAATTTTTATCCAGATGCAATGTGGTTGAACTAGCATTACCATGGTAACTAATACAGTGGCATTTTCTGGGTTTGTAGTTCTTCTTGCTGACTGAAGGCGGCAGTAGAGTCAGGCCAGGTCTGTATGATCTAAGTGCTTGGGAAAAACAGCAGACCTGTCTATTCTACATGGGTCACCTTAGCCTAAAATCCAAGGAGAAAAAAGTGAAAATAGAGGCTAATTCCTTAGCCTTCTCTTCCTTTCTAACGCAGTTCGTGGTTGATCTTAGGGTTTTAATATATACTGCAAATAAAGACTTGCTTTTTAAACCTGTTGAGAAAGACCTTGTGATTCTGGACACCATATTTTGTTCCAAATGAAAACCACTGGCATGTGCTATACTGAATATATTTGTCCCCAAAAATATTTGGACACAAGGCCCCATACTTTCAATGTCAGGGGATTAAGAATTTATAAACAGTTTCCACTCTGTATGCAAAGGACAGGTTCCTTTCCAGAGGCATGATTTGTGTTATTTTTCTGAAATTGGAGGGGAAGGAGGAGGCTGCCTGTCCCTGTCTAACTCAGGCAAGAGGGACTGTGTTTTCTGTGTGCATCCCTAGTTCTTCTGCATGGACCAGGACAGTTCTGGTGCATCATGCCATCTTTGGCTGCTGTGAGTCACTGGGAATATCAATGGGTAGAAGCTAACTTTGTGCAAAGTCCCTGCTGGGGTCACCCCCTAGAGTGAGTTAAGTCTTGGCTGTCAGAAACTGCTCTTGTGCCAGGAGGACTAAGCCATATTTATTTTTACCAGGCCTCTCAGACTTTCTTGTTTGGAGTGAGAGATCCTGAAAAGCATGCCAGAATAGGCTGTTTGTCTCCCTTTTATTGTCCTCTGGGACATGCCCCTAGAAAAGTTGTAGGGGACTGCCAATTCCCGAGGGGGTCTCAGAAGCATTGGTTTCCTCAGAAACACCACCCCTTTCCTTCATCCTTCTAGGACAGTCCAGGGAGCTGAATTTCCAAGATCAGAATATTGCCCTGAATTAGACCATCACTAATGGCCCTTTCAAAGGAAACACAGGGAGTGCTATGGAAATAGATAGAAATGGGCATGATTTTGATCTAACTAGGTTGACAGAATTCTCTTGTAACCCAGGCATCAATCAACAACTGGAATTTCCGAATGTAATTCTTCTAAAAAAGAAAAAGGCCTGAAGTTTCCCATTTTAAAATAATGGTTCTCAACCAGGAGTGATTTTTTCAGGCATGGGGCAATATTTGAAGACATTGAGAGTACTGGAATCTGGTGGATAAAGGCCCAGGATGCAGCTAAACATGCTATAATGAACAGGACATCCCTCCACATTCAAATAACTACCCAGACCAAAAGATTAATAGTGATGAGATTAAGAAACTCTAGAAGATTAAGAACATGAATCTGCAAAGAATTGCTCCATCATCTCTCTGAACTCCACTTTCTTGTTGAAGGTAATGCAAGTGCAGGGGAGGAGTACTTTATAAAACTTTATAAAATGACACAGCTAAGGGAGTCCTTCACCTCTCTGGTACAAGGAGACATATTTTCACTTGGTAACTATTCTTTAAAGGTATTTTGCACCAGGTACTCTGGAAGAAGTGATGAACAGATTTATTGGATCCCTGGAATTTACAATCTGATGGTTGCAAGGATTTGCAAGTACGAAGAGCCATTAAAAGAATGACCCCACAAACAAATTCAAAGTTACAAATAATAGAAACATTGAAAGAAAAGTACAGGGTTCTATGAAAAGAAACTTAATTTAGGTTTGGGATTGATTTAGGAAGGCCTGTCAGAGATATTAACTTTTTAAGCTGAGTTACCATCAGGGAAGCTGGGGATGTGGCTCAGTGGTAGAGCATTTGCCTAGTATGCATGAAGCCTGGGCTGGATCTCCAGCATCACAAGAATAAGTAAAAAAGCTAAGAGCAGATGGGGAGGGTCTTCCAGGCAGAAGGAACAGTATGTGCATAAGCCCTGATATCACTGGGCTAGAATTGTGGCTCAGTGATAGAGCACTTGCCTAGCATGTGTGAGGCACTGGGTTCGATTCTCAGCACTACATATAAATAATGAATAAAATAAAGGTCCATCAACATCTTTAAAAAAAGTATCACTAACTTATAGCAATGGGTGTGCTTTTGCCTAGGTTCTGGGGGCTACTACTGGAAACTGGAAACAATGACATCCTCAGGAAATAATCTATTTTGCAAACACTCCATACCACCATTTCTAGTGCCAGCATTTTTCATGTTTCAACTTAGCAGTGGTACTGAAGTCAAGATCTGGGGCATGTAGTTGATTCTGTTCCCTGGCCTAAATTGGGGCACACCCTAAAAGGTGGGGCTTTTTAGTATATTTTTATCTCCTGAAAGCTTGATATTTACACATCTGGCACAGATAAAAAGAGCCTTTACAGCAAATAGCTCATTTATCTTGATTGTTATAGCAGCAAAGATAAATTCAGAATGGTGGATAAACATGATTAATAAATATTCATTTAATAATAAATATATATAATAACCAATACTAAATGTGAATCAAGCATCCACGTGAATGACTTGTTTTCCCAAACTTTGAATTTGTTCTCTAGACAGTCAGAAGAGTGACTTCTTTAAAAATATAAGAAAGGCTTAAAACCTTCCAATGACTTCCTGTTAAACTTAGAATTTAAATACTTCTTGCCTGGTCTTTTAAGGTTCTTTGTGATCTGAACTTGGCCTACTTTCACAATTTTTCTCCTCACTCATTCTTCTCTAGCCATGCTGGTATTCTTTCAGCTCTGCAGCATGCTATCATTTCTGTCTCTCTCTTTTTTTGGAAACAGGGATTGAACTCAGGTGCACTCGCCCACTGAGCCACATCCCTAGCCTTATTTTATATTTTATTTAGAGACAGGGTCTCACTTGTTGCTTAGAACCTCGCTGTTGCTGAGGCTGGTTTTGAACTGGCGATCCTCCTACATCAGCCTCCTGAGCCACTGGGATTACAGGTGTGCGCCACCTCACTGCTCATTTCTGTCTTAACACTTATCCATGTGCCATCTCCTCTACCTAGAATGCTGTCTCTCTAGATCATTCCTTTGGTCATCTCAGGTCAACATCACAACCTCAGAGAAGCCTCACTTTACCACCCTGGATGTGTCTTATACTCACTGCCTTTACCTTATATGACTTTCTCTATAATATTTATCATTTAAAATAATCTTTTTTGTTGTTACATGTTTATTGTAGATAATGAGCTCCAATGGACTCCAGAATCTTATTTATTTTAGCCTCTAGTACCTTAAAATTGTGCCTGCCGCGTATTACTCAATGGACTTCTTTTAAATCAGTAAAAACCAGAGTACTAGGGTTGGGGAAATGCAATGAGTAAGATAGGGCCCCTAACTCTAAGAAGCTCTGAATCTGCTGGAGAAGATGACTTGTAAAGCAATGACAGTGTCATAGAAGTATGTATAAAGGACTGTGGAAACAGAGAAGAGAGCACTCGTAAGTTTGGGGTAGCTGGGCCTTG